CGGAGACAAAGCCAAGCACACTGTCTGGTTTACGGAGAGCTATAGCTCCACAGGTTAAGCTTTAAAGCTTTGCAACAAAGGATACATTTTTAGCAGCCCATTGCTTGTTCCAATAGCCAACAAGTTCAGTTCAGGATCGTGAGCGATTGCCGAAGGTTTTGGTGGAAAGCCATGTTCCACAGCCTGCAAGAAATTTAGGGTATTTATAAAAGCACATGTCCCTGGAGTTATCATAATCTATTCAAAGAGAAGGCAAGAAACCGCCAAAACTTACCTTGTTGAACAAAAACAGATCCTGACCAAGTTTGTCCTTCAAATGTCCGGAACTCCTATCCCTTGTCCTCGAAAAAAACTTAAACATGGTTGAAGTAGTCGCCTTCCAACAGAACCAAACGCGGCGACTTCACAGACGAATAATTTATTAGGAAGGTTGGAGTAACTGAGAATGCAAGCGAAAGACTCGTTTGAAAATCAATCACGCCTTAGCGAAATTGAGTTCGAGTCATGTGACATCCTGTCAATCAAACCGGCTGGGACCAATGAGATTGCATATCATGATTAAAAAGCGCGCCGAAAGAACACTTCAGCTGCAGGCGATTGGCTTCACAAGTACTCTTCAAACAAAACGTAGAAGTTCAAACTGCTCTGAATTTCTCTTCATGAATAAATTACGGCTGGGAAAGTTGACATGCAGTTTTTTTTTTGTGACAAATATTTGTTTAGGGGCGCGTGATCAGGATGTATTGTATACGAGTTAATTTTGACAGGCTCCAACATTTTTTGCCTGACGTGTGTCCGCGCGCCCTTTCAATTGCGGGCAAAAGTATGCTAAATTGTGAACCGCACGTATTCCATGCTCCCTACTGCGAATATTTTATTTGGTTTAGTTCAGACTTTGCACATGAAATCGTGCATTTTCGTTAAACCAGGAGAAAGAAAATAAATTGTATCATGTCTGATTACCTTTTCGAACAGATTACCCAATACTTTCCACGTGTCGAGAGGGTTCCTTATAAATATGCATATTTTTTCAAAAAAGATATAACTTAGCTTTAAGGACGTTTCACTTCAAGTGAACTGGGATAGTTTTGTTGAATTGTTTTGTCTTAATACAGAACGCCCTTACGACCGCCGTTTACACATAATCAAACATTTTCGGAAGATCTCTATTTTGAAAACATCTTGGTCTCAGCAAACTTCTGAACAGGTCCCTTTCTAATCCCATAAAGCATTCGACTGTAAAAACCCTATGATTTTTTTTTTCGGAAACTCGAGCGATAACGAACATGACCTAAACGTGTTTAAAACGTGACCGCTGGGACGAATTAAAACCCTCTTTATTTAGTAAAGAGAACAGGACAAAGGTCTTATGGTGAGACATGCCTTGTCTGATTATAATTGAATACTATCTACCTGACAATGTTTAGTAACGCAAGTTTTAGACTTTGCTGAAATAATGTCTGGGTTTTGTCTACGTGCTTGTGGCTAAACTAAACCTCACCGTTGAAATTTATTATTGATATCGGGTTCGTTCCGAAAACCAATATCGTTCCGTGAAATCTTTTCGTCATACATCACACTTTGATGCTTGAGATGCGGGCGTTAGGTGTCCCGGCTCTTCGAATTTTGCGGCCGTTACGAATGCCAAATACGAAATTGCCAAGTATTTTGACGCCTCCAATGCTTGTGAATCAATCATCTAAAGTTTGGAAATAGTATTTTGAATATTCCTAAAGTTAATCTGGGAATTTCACGTCATTTTAGAACCTTTCCTGCTCTAAACCCGTGGTCTTCTCATTTTGTTCCGATATCCCCGAGAACCGGAACAAAACTTCAAGTATGAATGAATTTTGATCACGAGGTCGGCGTTTTATCAGAAAATCTACCGTGAAGTTTATTTACTTATATTTAGAACTAATTCTAAAACTTTTATATAAATATTGACAATAAACGACAGTGATTATCTATGGTTAAATATTAAGGTATTAAGCGTTTCCGATGAGGGAATTCTCGTTTGTGAACCAACGAGAATTTCTCGACTGTGAGCATTGCACAATCTGCCAAAAGCGGCGATTTCGATTGACACTGTGAACCTGCCATTCGCATTTTTCTTCTTTAAAAAGATTTTTTTATCTATTTAAATGGAGTAAAATCTGCTTTACTTTAGTGAAAGTCTTGCAATTATAAATAACTATTACGAACACACGAATTCAAAACGAACAAGCAAATGCGGATATAAATAGAAATTCCGTCATCATTTGAGTCCTGACAAGAATTGAAAAAATAGCGATGTAGTTTTTTTTTTTTAAATTATCTTAAAAAGTAAATGGTATCAACTATGAAATATAAAAGAAAAAGAAGTTGCTAAAGACGCACGATACTCGCATGTAGTCCGATTTATTTACGGCAAGATTTGTGGCTGTTTTCACCTGAGTTTTGATTGTTTTCTTTTGTTTTCAAATAAGACGAAGCTTGGGCTTAGGAAATGAATAAATAAAGCCGACAAAACACGTTAATTACACAGACACACGTGCCTTACCATTGTTTGGTAGCTTTAAGTAAAGAGACACCGAATATTACCTATAGTCTTTTAAAGAAAAAAAATCAAACCCATATCGAAAGTGCCGACAGTTTCCTCAACACCGTTCAAATGGATTTAATTGTCTGTGGTTCTCTTCTGATTACATATTTGGCGAACAACGAAGAGAGACATTGAAGATGAAAAAACTTGCATTACTACTCAAAGAAGTCTTCTTTAACCGCTATGATGTAATGATTTTCACACAATTTAATTGGTCGGGGTCCAAAACATTGAACGCTTCTACAGCAGAGAAGGCGGACACCAAAGGCAAGGAAAAATAAGGAAGAACTTTGAGGAAGTTGACGCTCATTTTCTATTGTTAAACTTAGCTCGCACAATATAGGATTATTAGTGTCAAAGCGTTTCCTCGATGATCGTTATATGAGCTACTAGAACAGTCCTGACAAACTGTTTTGGGAAGCAACTATTTTTATCATTGTGTTTGGCAACGCAATAGTTCATTCGCACGATTTGTTATGGAAGTTGCAAGCTTTTGAGGGAAAAAAATTCTTATTTTTTTTAAGTCATTAGCTGAAGTGGCCGTTATATTGAGACCTATTGAGTGTCCCTCGTTTGCGGTTTGGCGGTTGCTTTTGAATGCAAAACAAATGAACGTGAAAATCATCATGAAAAAGCAGTAATGATTAAAATAAGCAAGATGACATATTTCGGGGCCATAAATTTACCACACTTTTTGCTATGTTTACTCATACGACGTTTCAAGTTTAACATTACTGATCCTCATGGTATAAATAACACAGAACCTAACGTGAGGCCTCACTTGCTCACCAGACCGCGAAATCCGAATAACTGGGGTGTGACTTCCCGTGGGCGATGAATTTTTCCTTGTCTCAGACTCGAGAAAAAACGAATAACATCCTTTATTAGGAGCAAAAACGGTTAGTTCGCAGATCTCTATTTAATCCATATAAGTAATGTTGGCGACTACTATCAATCTCGGAGACTTTGAATCACTTTTTTAGCATGTCTCAACGGAGTTTCACTGATCTGCTCGCCGAATGAGGTTTGTCCAATCAATAAATCAGTTAGGGAAGTTGTAAATCTCAAGGGGCATATCTTAATTAGGAGAGACCACAAAAAGTTTGAATAGACCATTTCCGAGATGCTCACTTAAGCCTCTTTTTCAGTATAAGGGTAAGAGCGATCTTTTGATATGAAAATCAGTCTTTGTTATTCTGTAAACAAAACTTAATATTGCCATCACAAAGGTTTTGCCAACACGGCACATTTTGAAAGTGAGGCTCGGCTGTTTAGGATTTTGAAGAGGTCTGTTCTCGCAAAATTGCGGAAAGAAGAGGAATGGTTGGGTAATTTCGATTGAGTGTCGTAAAAACAAAAGCAAACTAATCACAGCGCCTAATGTGAGAGAAGGATAGTATATCAGGGAGCCAATGAGAACTCGAGGAAAAAACAGGCAACCTGTTTGAAGCGCGGGAAAAGGCGAGTGTTCAAGTCGTGATTGGTTGAAAGGGGTTAAGAGAGTATCACGAGTTTCTAGACCAATCAAATAGCAAATTTAGAGGCAATAATTACGGAGCAGTAAGGGACCTCGTCTCCAGGGCGGGATAGAGCGCCACGCTGCAGAAAGAGGTTTTGTCGAGAGGACCGCACCACCTGAGATGGTTTCCTTTCTCATAGGACTTCATAAGTAATTCTCCTTGCTGTCTGCGATACAATTCCTACGATATCAGTTTGGAGAATTTGGTATTGTATCTTCTAGTAATCCCGTAACTGATATTATTATTTATTCCCATCGCTTGTCTGCATGATACTGTATTGATAGAGTAAGGAGAAATTATGTCTTGGTCACTTATGGGAGTTAAAAGGATAGGAGACCACGACCAACTCGACGTCTTTCACATGAGCTTCTGGCCAAGGTCACGTGTTAGGACAAGTGATTGATAGGGCTCGACCCAAGTTCCCGCGGCTGGCTGGAGTAGCTGGAATATCGTGGTTCATATCTAGTGCCTGGAAGTCTCTCAGCTGCAAAATAAGGATTCGCCAGGGAGAAAGGGATTTGTTCCTCGAGGGCAGCCAAGAGAATCAAACCTTTCCCCTGGGAGGGGTATACAGAAAAGTTTGGCTGGGGGAGTGCCGCCATTGTCCTTAAACACTGACCTTGTGTAAAACAAACATACTACAGTTCCCTAACATGTTAAAAGGTAGAATGACTTTAGGTTGGGGATGACACCCGGTTCGAGACGCTGAATAGTGAGATTACATGCACGATTAATACTCAAGAAACTAATATCTTTACTCTGTTTGACGACATAGACCAACTGAGGGAGGAGGACCCCCTTCCGCCCACTTCCTCCCCTCCCGCACCGCACTGTTTCTATCAACCAGGGCATGTAAATTCAGCATCTATTTCCTAAATTCATTTTTAATGTTCAAACAACCGTAATCCCACAGTACATATACATATATATATATATATTAAATACAAGCCGTTTTAAAATTGTAACAGTATTCTTGATTGAATAAATTTTCGATGGGCTGGGCCTGACTAGGTGCACTCAAAAGAGGAAATTGAATTTCGTTGTATTGTTTCTGTTCACTCTGCCAGAGCTTTGATTCCAAAGTTATCGTTCTCCTCAATGTACTCCTCTAGCACTTTAATTATATTGAGTGTATCGTCAGAACAGAGAGAGTGAGCCTCTAATGTGGCGTTTCGGAGCAAAATAGGGCCATTTCCACATTTGAGGAGAAACACATACGACCTGAAAAAACAAAAGAAACCCGAATTAGAAAATATTAATTACGGAAAAATAACTAAAACAGACAAGAGAATACGTCTGCGTGAAATGTATCACCTAAAGCAAAAGATGACCACGTAAAAAAAGGAACTTACATACTGGGTATACGTGTGCTAATAAAGAACCAAACTCAGCTTCAGTACTTTGATAAATTACGTTAAGAGTTCAGAAACAAAACAAAGAGTTTATAATTCTAAATCTAAATAATAATAATAATAATAATAATAATAATAATAATAATCACGGACACCGCCAGTTTGATAAGTTATATCTCTTATCAGTTCAGAGCGAGAAGTGTGGATAACGTTAGTTATTCAACTCGTGTAATTTCAAATTCAAGGTAGTTCTTAATTAAATGAATCACGTCCTGCCAATAGGTAACGGTATAGTAAGTCTCTACTGAGTTGACCATGATCTAATTTAAAATTGGCCGAATCCAAAACAAGATCTTGGCACAAAGTCGACCACATGACAAGTTTGCACCAAAATCCGGTCAATCGATTGTCGAAGCCGATGCGTCAAAGCCAACATTCTCGAGCAGTAACATTTCTTTGAGGCATCCAAAACTTCTCGCTCCTTGTCAGAAAGTCTTCATTCTTTAAAAACTGAACTGAAAATAAACGAAACGTTTGCTGTATCGTGAACAGTGAAGGTGGAATAGCCAAATCACGACTGAACCACTTTAAATAACCACAGGCTGCCATCAGTCGCCTCAAGCTCTCCTAAATCTGTTGAGTTGAACACAATATCACTCAACCGCTCAAAAGGGCACTTTGCTGAAAGACATGAACTGTTTACAAATACCTCTCGGAAGCTTCCTATGTCAGATCTAGTTTGAGGCATTCAGTGTAATTAAATCTACGGCTATTCGCTCAAAACTATCATCAGACATCTTAAGTGTTGTTTCCTCACTCCATGAGATTCAAACGTTACCTGACCAATTCTCACTAAAAAAATAGATGCTTCAGCCAGCCTGTCAGTTGGCAATCCGGTCATATGGAAAATTTGTATTCACGCCAGAAAGCGCCGGGAATGACAGCACCCCTTTAACCACTTAGTTAGGGGTTAATGGGTCAAGCATTTTCGGGGGATTGAATTCGGAAATATTAGTCTGGGTCAAACAATGTGGAAGTGAAGCCAAGTGACACAACAATTCCGTAAGCACGTTAGGTAGTCAGTATGGCATTTTAGAAGCAATTCTTTCTGTAGCGAAACCTATCTGGAGTATGTTTAGCGTCAAGGACACTTATTTTTTCATTTTTTATTAGTAATTCTCCTTACTGTCTGTCATACAATTCTCCTGATGTTAGTTTGGAGATTTGGCATTGCATCAACTTGTAATCCCCTCACTAATATTTTACTTTGGTTTTTCTTTAAAGGGTTAGGTCCCGCATTCTGGGGGATTTTTCTAATGATTTTAAATCGTTTTCTTTTATCAAATATGCTTTGCAGTCCGGAAAACTTACATCAACACACCCCTTCCATAGATTGACACTACTCATGTGCTGACACGACGAAGTCAGGGGCCAAGGTAAATAAACCCACCACTTTTTCTCCGCCAATGTTCAACTGAGTGCCAAGAAAAAAAACCTCAGTTGCTTTCAAGGTAAATATGAAGGCGTTTGATGGTTTAACTGACATGACAGTGCGATAGTACTAGGTCCCAAGTCCAAAGACTGTTCCAACTGGTGTTCCTATTTTCCATGGAGACTAATTTTCATTATTCGCGTAAACCTTGCGTGTGCTCACGCGAGGAGGATGGACGAGTATTGACTTCGAAAGGAGTCTACGACGATTCCCTGAAAGCACTGAATGGTCAAATGAACGTGTATCAGATCTAGTTAGAGGCATTCAGTGTCCGCGAGTATCCCACGGAGCTTTCGCCGAGTGTTTAACGGAAGTACTCATGTAGCAAGCGCTGAGAAAGCGCGGAAGGGAAGGTAATACGGCTTAAGCCAACCAAACCCGATTTAAAGATTGTCAGAAGGACGGGCGGAAGTTGATTCGAAATATTTCTGCATTGCACATCCATATTTGGTCAAATGGGTTTTCAGAGTTTTAGTACGGAACTGATGTCGTGGGCGGCGTTGATCAATCTCTCTCTCTTCTCTTATTTCGTGCCTCAAATAATTAATTTTTCTAGCCGGGAATGATATGAAAAGCTTAATTCCGGGAAAGACAGAAAAAAGTATTGAGGGCGATTATCCACACGCAAGAAGGTCACAAACAGACATTTTAAATATTTTTCTTACGAAACAAAATTTCGCCTTGTCAATGTTTTCTTCTTTACAAAATATAAAAACTTGAAGAAGATACGATAAGATTCAACTTGTAATCATAAGGGGATGGTCAAAAAAAGTGAATTTTCATATGGTTCCTTTGAAAAACAGACAGTGGTAGAAATAAATCTAAAGATGTTTCTTAAAAAAATAGAACCAAGTGAGTGTTCATCATGCAACAATTCTTCAATCGAAAATCAATCAATCATCATGATTGTTTAAAAATAGATGCAGTGTTATCTTCCCAGCAGGCAGAGAAGTAAAGATATGCTCAGGTCTCTGTTGTGGATCGTGTGCTGAAATTATAAGCGAAAAAATCGCCACTTGAAAAGTTGAGTGTCCACGCACTACTAATTGAATTTTCTCTGGTATTTTTTACTTGATGACAGAGCTTATAAATAGCTTCACAGACAGATATTTGGTTTATAATATCTGACGTTCCTTAGATAATATGACGACGGCAAAGTTCAAAAATGCTGACAGGGGGCGAAAATGAAATAAAAAAATAAATATTCTTTATCTTAAATCTCGTGATTTGTTTCTATCAGCGAATCTCGCTGCTAATCGAGTTTGTTTTGGCTGGACGCTGTCCAACAGAAACTAGCGCTCTTGTTTAGCGGTTTGCAATTCTGATTTCGAGCTGAACTTGGGGATTAAACGTTGCAAGCCTTCGTTAACTATCTCTATAATACTTGCCATAGAAACATGATGCAAACTTGCAGGTTCTGTTATAAACCATTTCTCTGAAGAACAGATACCTCTTGTTCCCGCAAAGGATTTAATTAAGGTTTCAAGGATTAAAATGCTGAATTGTGCTACTTCTCTGCAATTTGCACCATACGTAGCGATCGGCCTTACCGAACAATAAAGAAATTGACTATAGGTCAGTTTTTCCACCATTAATGAGATCTCAAAAAAAAAATGATTGCGCTAAACTGTCTTTGTTTTTTAACACGACTAAGACTTAAAGAAAAACTTGAAAACATTAAGCACGTATATACAAAATCATGGTATGAATATATGATAACTAAACAACAGAGGCGTGTTTTAAACATTCGGCTACTCTTCGATCAGCGAGGGAAATTGTTAGTTCTTGAAATTGTCCTGTGTACCAAATCAGTACAACATTAAAAGATGTTTCCGAAGACGTTTTTGCATGGTTTCGTGCAAATTCCGGCACCGGAAATATACAAAACACAGGGTTTACACAAATATTGGCGAGCAAAATTCAATTCTTTGCATCAGAAAAAGATACTTTCTTCTTGCGGACTAAAATAGAACCATGAATTGCGAATATCAAGCAACCGATATGAAATGCATATCAACAACAGAAATTCCACTTGTAAGAGTTTTAAGAGTCCTCAAAATTCTAACGTGCATTTGGCGAAGACAAAACTCTATGCAAAATTAAACTCACAAACATTTCTGGAGAGACACAAAATGACTCCTCTCTTCTGTTTTCTTTCCATGAATTAATCAGCTATATTTTCTAAACTAGTTTGCAAATTTCCACAGGTTTGTTTTCAAGAATTCTAACTATGCATTGGCCCAGTTAGGCCACATAGTCTGCAGAGCAAGGGTCGTTGCGCATTCCAGCCAATCGGAGAGAGAGAAAGACGAAAAAATTGATTTATGATTCTATCCTGCACGCAATGTCGCTTTACGATGCGCGCGGAAAGTTTGGTAAAACATTCGAGAAGCTAAAATCGCCTCCGGCTATGCCTCGAGCAAGTCTCTTCTTTTATTCGAGTTCTTCCGTGTTAAATATAACTCGATAATGCACGGAATGGAGTGGAATGATTGTTGTTTCGTGGAATAAAGTTATTTTAGCTATCATAAACAACTCACTTTCTTTCATTTGCTTTGAAAAATTTTTTTTCTGCACATGGTTGACAACTGAGGCAGACCGGTACTGTAAAAAACTTGTGTTAATCTTAACCACCTACAGAAACGTCTTCGATATTAGCTTGTCGGCTTCCTTTTGTTTAAAACCATTTCATTCATTTGAAAAAACTTTTTAAGATGTCGTGACGCAACTCGTGGCACCTGACGAGGAAGCCATCCATTTTCAGCGAGCGCATCGTAGCTTTCCTAATTAAACGTTGAAATGACAAACACCAAGAAAAAAATTCACGCTCTTACGAAGGAATACGAATGCGAAGGACAATGAAATTCACATCTGATGTCGCTTATTTTCAATCCTTAAATTGAACCAACAAAAAATAGTCACATATGTGCTATTCACACCACTACTGATATGCAAATATTTTCCAATAAAACTGAACAAACAGCCCAAATGCACCCAACAAATATCTTCAGTGTTTCTAAAAATATGTTAACACGCACAGTTAAAGCCTAAGGCGAAATGAAAAAACCAAAATTGGTAAACACGGATTCAATTGCGCGACAAGAAAAAGCAGTGCACGGGGGTGTTGCCTGACTGAACCCACAAGAGCGGGGCGTTATCATTCCGAACTGACCTATTATCTTGGTGACGCAAACAGAAACAAACCGACCACAATTATCCGTTAATAACAAATTCACGCTTCGATTTTGCGGTTTTGACATTAGTCTATAACACACTCCCTTGAAGTTTGACTCAATATTTTTCCCTGAAGCACACTACAGAGTCGACTGAATTCCCGAAAGGAGTGGTTAGGTAACACACAATTACATACAATTTTCTTTTGTCTCCCTTCGATGCGCCTAGAAACAACTGCGTGTATGACTGAACAAACAACAATTGCAGCGAGATAAAAAGAATTAGACGGTTAAATTAGCTGGACAACTTGCGCAAACAAGTTATCACAAACCACAGCGACAGTTTGAAACCTTAGGTCAAATAAACTTGATTTTCAAACATCTGAGTGGTACTTTCAATAGTACTTCTCGTTTTCAACATTGTCCAAATTTGCGGCTAATTTTGAAGCTCTCAGTAACTCTTTTGAGACAAGAGTTAAAAAAAAAACTGAATGGCATTGTCACTTAGTAACGCGTGAATGGTTTTCTACAGCTGCACAATGGATTCACTGACACGTAGTCTCTGATGTTGATTTTAGACGAAAGTGAATGGCTCTCTGCCTTTCTTTGACCGTTTTCCGTATTTGACTTTGAATAAGTTGAACAAAGCAGTTTCAACAAACAAAATCAAGTCAGCATACAAAAGTAGGGCAAATTTAAAATTCAACAAGCTATATTAAATTTTTGGGAAAATAAAAGTTGTGAAAAACGTGTTATACGAAATGAGTTTGCTTATTTCTTTTTACCAGAGTGTCGAGACAAACTAAAAACTCCTCGAACCGAAATGATTCGTTCTTGTCGCAATTGACATTGCAGATAAAAAAATAAAAATTCATACAAACTTATAAAGAGATATTACTATTCTTTGGAAATATTACTTTTTATGCTTTTCAGTTAACTATATGCAAAGTGAATAAGCAGTAAAAGCTGCAGTGAGTGAAGCGTTTACAAAAGTTCCTGTCCGGAAAAATTAAAATTGTCGTCAAGGGAGCGAAGATTATGAAATGTATTAAAAAAGTAACGAGCGATTCGCCTTGCACGGAAAGCTTTTAATTCTTAAAATTTCCTTGCTAAAATCACGAGCGGTTTAGGCTTGATGAGATTCATTTGAACCTTAATGCAAAATTATGAATTAAATGTGTTGGAGTAAACAAAACAGGTACTAAAATTCTGCGTTTTATAAACTTCGAAGTGAGAACGTCTTTTGTTCACCTCTAGGGCCATTTCGAAGCTACTTCGGCAAAAATAAGGTTTTGAGTTGTTAATTCTTTCCTATTACTATGTCAGTACAACCTAGTCCTGAAGCTCGCAGCGAACAGGCAGTGGACAACTCAACCAGCTCAAGTTAGAAGTAATGTTAGGACATGTTGTTTTTCCACCCTCCCCTCCCCTCCCTGCCTCATATTCCACGCCACAACAGAAATATAGTATTTTGATTATATCATTGTTGGAAACTTGCCTATACAAAGCATAATGATCAGTCTCTGCCTGTCTCAGGAGTCTCTTCAATGTATTCAAATCGTGATTTACCTGTGGGGAAAAAAAGATAGATATCAAACACGTTAACAACTCGAAAGCAGTGTAACAAGGCGGGGTGTCAGAATTCGAACAAAAAAGGGTGCAATCAAGCTTGTGCTTAATGGCGGCCAGACAAGAGGTGTTGTTAGTTTTAGAAGCAGTAATCTGACAGATAATTCTAAAGAATCTCTATTTATAGGCCTAAGAGCGTTTCTTTTCAATACAGGCAGAAAATTTTTTTCCGTCAAATTTTCACTTGGTTTTGTTCAAAGATCGACGTAGGGCTTTTCATTGAGATACTACTGCCTTAATGAATTTCAGACCTAATTGTTATCTATTCAAGGTCTTGATTATCATATATAATTAAAAGATTAAGGGATTAACTCAGTTTTATACAAATGTCTGAGACAGGAAGTTCGGGCATCAAACGTTCGCAGAAAATTAAAAAGCCAGCAAGTCATTGCATTAGCAACCAATTCATGTCAGGCATAAAATTCGCTTTATGGGGTTTTACACCGGAACTCATAACGTGAAATTTCGCCTATCTTCTCGTAGAAAAGTGCGCATCGCTTACAACAAACGTTTTGTATAGTCCTGTGTTAAAACAAGGAAACCGGTGATATCTAAAAAAAGAGTATTGCTTTTCAGAAGAAAGAAAATGTATGCAATTACTAGTTCAGTAAAGCCACAAAATACCAGACAATATCAGTTAGGTATCTTGGCAACATATAAAGGACAACAATGGACACGTTACAGCATTTGACGCTGCCTCCTGTCTTTTAATTGCGAAAGATGCACATAATAAAAGCGCCCGTTTCAGGCATTCAGTCAGGAACACGAAGCGAATTGATAAACGGTGCGATTATAGCGGCAGAAAAAAAGCGATGGAGGTTTGGGTCGGGTCATAGATGCAGAGAAGTCTAAACAGCCAATCAGAAGAAGTGAATATCTAAATGAGCCGATGAGATGTCATAGCTGAAAATGAAAAATTACGTGGGGGAGGGCCAGTTGCCTAGTTGCGATTGTTAAAGGTATTGAATTTGATTGGTTTGGAAAAAAATAGCCTTTTTTTTCTAGATCAATCGCACACAAAAGTAAAATGGAACATGCACTCAGATTAGCAAAAATTACCCTCAGTTTGTAGTTCTCAATCACTTGTCGAAGGAAGACAGGGTTGTCCACTGCTTCACTCAACATGGTTTTTGCCCATTCTCTACAAAACCGCGTACTTACTACAAAAAAATCAGAAAACAATTCCAGATTTAGACTTAATTATCATGTGACAAATTTCTCTCAGACACAGTTCACATACACACTTTGTATTATAAAACTTTAGAAAATGACCTAGATACTACAAGAACCCTGTTTGGTCAAAACCCTATTGTTTATTGCACCACTGGTCAACCCAAAGAAAATTGAGGTTTATTTTATAATAGCAATAGACTGCACTCTCTATCAGTTTCACCAGCACAACAAAACACGCATACAGTTTGTAAATTCTTCCCCTCTGGCTTGTGATTACAAACTTTTCAAGCATTCTCCCAACATCCAAAAGTGGTTTATTACACTGCTAAACCAGTAGCAGGTGCATTCTATTGCTTTTATAGAAAAAAAAGCTCAATTTCCATGGGTTGACCAGTGCAATAAACAATAAGGTTTTGACCAATCAGGGTTCTAGTAGTATCTCAGTCATTCTATAAAGCTTTAAAATATGTAGTGTGTCTCCTGCTCTAATCTGAAGTTACTTCAAACGATTTAGGTTCTACCAGAGATAGTACAAACTTGGAAAAAGAAGCTCTTTCATCTCATCATGAACATGCAACAGTGCTGGAGCACAACACAGTACACTCCTTCAAGTCCCTTACCATCTTTCTCATTATATTTACAGTCATAAAACCTTTTTTTGGACATCCAAAGTCAAGTTTTGTTTGCTAACTACATGCCCAAAATACCTTTGCTGCTTAACTCATACTCCCCACCATCTGCTTTCAAGGTGACTTTGCTAGGTATGGCTGTGCAACACTTTGATAGTTTCTTGTTTTCCATATCCTACCAATTTAAGTGATGGAGAACTGTTACATTCAACTGTTATTTCAGACAGAAAAAGCATTACAAGTGTGTACAGTTAAGCACTCTGCTTCCTTGGACTTGGAACACCACTGTCTCAGCATTCTGACTAGATGTGAACTTGTCTCAGTGTCTACCAATGATATAGCCCTGTTGGCAATAATTACTAACCCTTGCAGATGTTTGGATAAATGCCCCTTACCCACTGTCTACCCCAGCCGGCAAGACCACTTACAGCCTTCTGTTTGGCCTGAGAGCAGGCTCTGGTGCTTTGGTTTTGCCTAACAGCCCCTTTTACCAGTCCATAAGAAGACAAGAGGGAGACTGTAAGGGAAGGTAAAGTCTGCACAATAAAGTTAACTGGCCCAAAAGGCACTACACTGTATCTTGGTCTTTATAGCATGATGTGACAAGGAGTATTCCTATAAGCCCTGCATGGATGGGATGCTTAATCTCCAGCATATTGTCAGGTTTCCTAGACAGTTTGGCTAGAATAGACTTTCTGCTTCTACATTTAAACCCCTGATTAGTCAATACTGATCATGATGACTTTCAAGTTTTCGGTACCTAAAATTCCTCTTTTAAAACATAACTTACCATGGGGATATCCACTGACGTTCCCAACACATTCACCATGCTACAAGCATCAACAAACCTAGAGGATTAGAAGAAATTTTCAGCTCCAAGAGGCAAAGTATTCATTCATAACAAAACAAAAAACATAATGATGCAGCTCACATTTTCAGGTCCATTTTAAGCTTTTCATCATCACTCTGCACCTCTAAATTTCCACCTAAAAGGCCCTGTAGAATAAAAAAGAAAAATGTCTGTTTATAAATTTTGCTACAAAGTAGTTAATACTGGTGAACTGAAGGGCAAACCCCACCCCCCCACCCCCTCCATGCATTTTGTCAAGTTTCTGAAAATTTCTCACTTTGCACTACTGTACTACCAATTTATACTTCTTGTGAAAGAGGCATGGGGGGGGGGGGGTGTGTATGTGTGTGTAAGTGTCCTACATGGTAGAGGACTATCTATGGGTGAACCTACACCTCTTGAATCAGAGAATAGTATCCCAACCATCAAGCCACCTTATCTCCTTTTAGGGGTTTAACTGTAACCCAGCAGTGGAAAAAAGCTTGATCCTGTGCATATAAGTTGGGTATGGCCCTACTTTCTCACCAGCCCTATGAGAACAGCCAGGTCTTCCTTCAATAGACTTGTGCATCGACACACAAACTCAACCTGTAAAAAACAAATTACAGGCATTTCTGAGAAGTCTTGATCTAACAGTAAGTATTCAAGGCAGATGCAGTTTATCCTTGCTAAAAGCAAGGAGGAAACATTTTTCAAATAAATGGAGTAGAATTATAACAAAAAAAAGCAGTAAAGTGACATGGTTCAAGTTCACCTGAAGGAAGGTGAAAACTAAAAGGAAATAACAAGGACGATGGCAGTGGAAAATGTAGGCTGTATTCTGTGAATATGTTGAGAGAAAAGCAGAGAAAAAGCAAGATGATGATTTTTGCTGACAATAGACAATGTTGATGAAATTCACACTCACATACATTAGATGAATGTTGACAAGGGAGATAAAGGAGGAGATACTGTGTTTACCTCAAGTATTTCTGATGACAAATGATTGCACAGTACAACTGACAGAGTTTACTTGATTTGGTGAATAAAGAGGAAAATTATATGGACTGAGTGTGAGTTAAAGTTAACATTTTGTATAGTTGCTCTTTTCTAAGGAATAAATCAAGACTGTATTAGAGCACAAATTTATAGAGTGAATTTAGTTATTAGACTTACATTTTCCTCATACCAAAATTCTAGATGCTTGAAGCTCTCTTGAACATCTAATGATTCCTTAAAAGATAACATGTCTCAAAATTACTAATATAATTGTGACTGTGTGATCTACTTTGTAAATATGCAAGTGCAATTTTTTTAAAAGATATTAAGCTTACGGTATATTTGTCAATGTATGGTAGAAGCCCTTTGCTGTATTCATCAAGCTCTTTTTGAAATCTGAGAAAGATGTTAAGGCTTCATTGATGTAAGTGAAAACACTGTTTCCAGTATTGCAGCTGGTAGGAGTAAAAGTTCTCTTCAACCAATCTGAATTGAAAAGTTGAATTTCTGGTGGCCTTGCTCCCACTTTGTCTGAGCCACAATATTTTCTATTGATAATTGATAAAGAAATGAATAACAGACAGCAAGGATAGTTGACTTTGAGATCTTGGGAGTTAAATGATTTTCAAATATTGTAGTAATATTACACTACCATTAGACAATCACTTCATTTTTGGAGAAAGAAAGAGGAAGACCTTTAGAGAGAAGCTGTGAGATGGGAATGCACTCTATAATCACCTTCACCAAAGAGAAAGCACTTAAATCTGATCCTGTACTATTTTAAGGATACAAGTCTAATCCACTTTCACTCCCAGAAACAAGACAGATGACATAATCCTTAGATAGAAAACTCCCAAATCCAGGGGAATCCCTGTAATTCAAGAGTAAACATGCTTAAACCTGCAGGTAACTAAGAGAAGATTATATCAAACAAGAATGAATTAGTCTTTTTTTAATTGTTTTTGGAAAGGGGAGGGAGACCTTGTTATATTTTAGTGTTCCAAAGAAGGCTCTGGAGGCTTCAATGAAAGTGGTAGAAGGCTATAAGAGGGTTATATACAGAAAGAAAAAAATGTAGCCAAGTAGCCCATCCATCCTGACCTTATCCCAGGTTATGAAGCATCAAGTCACTTTAAGAACTGCTATTCTCCCTGAATGGGAAGCCAGTCAATCAAGACTTCTCCTCAAAACTTCAGGTTCCCCAGACAGTCATTACTGTTTCCTCATGTGGTGCTTTTCTTGCTCCAAACATGAAGAAGTATTTGGACAAGACAAGCTTTCTTTTTTTTAAGAGCAAAGTTTATTCAGAAACTCAATGGTCTAATTTTCTGCATTCTCACACACTATCATAATTCTATGTTTATAGCGCCAACTGCATATAATTATAGCATGAACAAAGAATGTTGCATTTAGGGAATATCCATAGTAAGTGTGCTAATTTAGCATCCAAAGGCATATTACAACAGTTACTACCCATTTATACTCATAGTTCATAAAAGAGAGATTATAAATAATCACCATCTACAACATGATAATATTTTTCACCTTAAGAATAAAAATTTTAAGGTAAATATCATACATGTCTTGTTGTTCTATGCTGTCACCACTTTCCTTTCCACCTCTCAGCAAACAGTAATAGCAGAGTGCTGAATCACCAGGAAAAACATTTTCAAGTACATTGATGTTTCCATTGCCACTGTAGACTGTTCCTCTGGCAAGTCGTTTGGCCATGAAAGTTCTTAGTTCAGTTTCCTGCTCTCCTGACAAATTTGTGCTCAAAAGAGATAGACTACAAAAAAGAAATAGATCATTATGTGAAAAAGCAGCCCTCAGATAAATCCCAGCATTCGCATTAGTTCTTTCTTGGTTGGATTTTGTGATACAGAACAGTTCAGTGGATATAATATAATTATGAGCTATCATAGAACCTTACAAATTCAATCTTTCAAGGGAAACAAAAGATAGTTTGAGTTAGCAGGCATTCAAGTAGGTGTTAAAAAAATAGGATCAGGGGAAATCAGATCTTTTTCAAGTTATCATGGGGTTTGAGTTCACTAAGTCTGAGTTCGAGGAGTTCTACTGTATTTTTGGAAAAGCCACGACCTCAAGCAAATATTCTCCATTATAGCCATTACACTCAGTTAGTGAGAGGTGAAAAAATACCAAAAAAACAAAAACAACAACAACAACAACAACAATTAGGTTTACTTTTTAGCCTATTGATTACACATGTTGTTTTTCAGCATTATCTTAAGTCCAGTTTGCTTTCCCCTTTGTTTTTTAGCAAGGTGATGCATGAGGATAAGTGTGAACTAGTAATGATTAATCCCTTAATTCCCACAAAGTAATTAACATGTTACTTCTCCCTATACATAAGATCCATACATTATCCAACAACCAGGTAATGAGAAAAACTCAAAGTTATCAAGTGGAAGTTGTTATCTGGATCTATCACCAAATTTACAGCGAAATGTATAGAATTCAAATGTGCAATATTCAAACTGGATTGCGCAATCTAACAAAACTTGCAGAGAATCGAATGCACAGAAGAGTTCCCTTGAAATCTAAAGCAAGTAAGTTGTAGCCGATTGGGCTACGGTCCAGGCTTGTCTCAAGAGCGAATAACTCAAGAGAAAAAGAGAAAGTTATAAAAAAATACTCACCTAAAATCATAATTAGTTGTCGCCTCCTTGCGAAGAAAATCAGACACAGATCCCTCAGCTACAATTTTGCTTGACACAGCTCCATCTTCACTGTCTTGGCCGTTTTTATTTTCCTCAACTTCAGCACTCCTTGGTCTAAAAAGACCAATAATCAGTAAAATAAAGAAACATGAATGAAAAACCAACCGTGCATACCTGCGTGCATTGTACGTGTACAGGGCGAATCCGTAAAAATCTTTTTGTTTTGGTTCAATATTCTCATTTGTGTTAGCTTCTTCGTCCGCCATTTTGAAAGTTGCTTTACAGCCAAGCCTTGTTTTGATGGCTTGGCTACAAAGGTTTATATGGCGGGTTTTTCGCAGCAAAAGGAAGAATAACCTTCTTCATGTTTGCTGTCAAGATTATCTGATAAGATGGCAAAAAGTAAATATGAATATGTAAAAAAGTTCGAACAGAACGATCAGTGCCTTATGAACTGCTGGATCGTTATTCGAATCGATGGAAGAAATTTTCACAGGTACACGTGCAAATATGTTCCTTACCAAATCACTTGATGGTTTTACTTCATTTCATTCTAATTTATTGTAATTTCAGATTTTCCGATGGCCACGGTTTTGAGAAACCAAACGATCAAAGAGCACTGCAGCTTATGAATAAATGTGCTGAGACAGTGATGAAGGAATTCACTGACATTGTGATTGCATATGGACAGAGTGATGAATACAGGTAATGTGCAAAGAGAAGGGAAGGAGGGGAGGGGTTTGTGAAGCTGGGGGGGGGGGGTGATAAGATTGTGACACAGACCTCATGTACATAATGGCAGTGGGAACAGAAACCTAGGGTAAAGAGGGCCTGCCTGCAAGGATAAAGGGGCGCTCCCTTAAAACAATTTTTATGATAATTATTTTAACCCTTGAGGACTAAATTTGGTTGAAACAGAGGGATAGAGGGGGAGTTCCGCTCCTCAACCCCCCAATAACAGCTACTCTTATGTGACGTTATTTGCAGTAATGTGAGCACATTGGTTGGACTGGTTCCTGTTGTAGTGAATGTTTTTATTTTTCCATTTCAGTTTGGTTTTCAAAAGGAGCACAACACAGTTCAGCAGAAGAGCAAGGTGAAAACTGAAACTGATCTTTATCTGTTCACCCTTTGACCTCTATGAGCTACTAGGATCAAATTTGTCCTTACAATGTTACAAAATCATAAATCACACATAAAGGTCATGAGAATAATGAAAATGATCACTGACTAAAAAAAAAACTCTTGATTGTTAAACAAATTCTCCTTGTTAGCACCCTTGGAAATGTACAGAGAAAAGTATGGAGAATTTGCATACTAACTTTAGGGTGTTAAGGGTTGATATTTTCCTTCCAAACTAATATATCAACATCTTGATACATTATCAGTGTAACTATGATTATGAGTAGAAATTATTTCTTTGATATTTGCTGATTAGTTTCAAATACTTTTTACTGGGTCACTTACCAACAAGTATCTTGTATACACCTAATTATAAATTTTTTTTTAATCTCTTCTTCAGCAAGCTGGTTACAAATGTTGTTACTCTGTTCTCTTCATCCTATGTATTCTATTGGAATCAATTTTTTCCTACCCAAGAACTGCTTTATCCACCCATGTTTGATGGACGAGTTGTACTTTATCCCAGTGAGAAAAACTTAAGAGACTACATGAGCTGGAGGCAGGCAGATTGTAAATATCAATATATTATAACAATGATAATTTGGTTTTATCAATTGAATTGATGATGTAAATTGGCCACTGTAGAGAACCTTCATCATAGTGTGTGTTTGATTTCTGTAGGTCACATTAACAACCTCTACAACACATGCTTTTGGTGTCTGGTAAAGCAGTCAAGTCTAACAGCAGAGGAGGCAGAGGAGAGACTAAATGTAAGTAAAGCTGATGTGTCTTGATTTTTCAAGGCAATCTGTATTATGAAGGTTGTCTCACACTCATCATGCCACATAACATTCTTCTTTTTAGTTTGTTAAAATTTTATCTCCGTTCATAAATTTTTACAACAGGGTAAAGTTGAGAATATTTGGTGGGGCAGCTTGGATTCCAACTTAGCTGTCCTACTTTAAAGTAACAAAATGCCTTTTCTCTTAGAACTTTCTATCAACTCTAATTTTAAATATTTGTTTTGAGATTCCTCTTCCCAGAAAATTTCCAAAAATCTTTGGTAGGATAGATGTACATGTGTGTGATTGTTTTTCTTTAAACACAGTATCTAAACACCATAACAGACAGAGGCTTGTTTTGGGACCAGATATTGTTTATTAAATGTTTGTATCCTATGTAAATAACACACTAGACTATTACATAAAACATATTTGACTGATACACTAAACCAAGAGTCCAGTAATCAAGAATAATTAACAAACATGAATGAGATTAAGATACAACCAAAACTGTCAATGGTGTGGGTGGGAGGGAAACTAGAACTTTCTTAAAGCTAGAAATAAACTTTTTGCTTGCTTGCTTGCTAGATTACTAATAAGACATGCACAGATACCTAAGTGGTAAAATACTAAAGTAATTTTGCAATTAGAATGCATTAGCTTGGTGAATAGCCATTGGCTCTACCCAAGTCTTATGACTTGTTTGCTGAAAAAATTGCTCAATCTTATGGAAAGAGAAAATACTAATATGCACCCTGCCTGAACCCAGTCCAGGCCTCTCAGTTATTGATGTCCAGATTCATATTAATAGAGATCAATATTCACATTTCATAAGCAAAACTGCAATGGTCAGCAAATTCCCCTTGGTACAGTATAGCACATTCAAGCTGTTTAACACAAGAGATAAGCTATATGAAAGGCACTAACTTGTTTCCCTTAGTGTCCCATTTGGCCTTTTCTCAACAAAGCTTGCAGTGCAGGGAAATTTTAGGCATTCAACTGCTCAGTAATTCTGCATGAAATGTTTTCCTATTATCTTGGATTGTTAGCGAAGGAGAACACAAGGGGAAGGAGTAAAATGTCTACTTATGAAGTAGAAAATGACCAGGGGAGTAACAGTTCATTTCCTGGCCCATCCATCTCTGTTCACTCTAACCCCAGATCAAACCAAACCTGTGGCAATGCAAGCACCAGCACAGCAAGCTTGTGTTTACAATAAAGAGAGACTCAGTCTCACTGGAGTTTATCCATACTCCATATCTCCTTGCTTTACCAACTCCTCCCTCTCCCCTTACCTTGAGTGGGCTTATTTCTAACAGTGCTGTTTTCTATCTCCTTTAATTAGGGAACTGTTTCCAGTGACAAGAATGAGCTTCTCTTCTCTGTATTCAACATGAATTATAATAACCTTCCTCAAATATACAGAAAAGGATCAGTTCTGGTCTGGGAAAGGGTAATACTATTTTCTAAGTTTGTTTGTCAATTTTAATTTCCATTTCATGTAAACCCTTCAACCCTTCTCATGCTAACATCAGTATGCATTTTCTCCATATTGTTCTCTATACATTACTTACAATGCTAACAAGGAGAATTTGTTTTTTAACAATCAAAAATTTGGATCAGTATCAGTATCTGGGCAACTGCCCATCTACCCCTACCTTAACCCAACAAAAGTGAATTGATAACAAGTTAGGGTTAATGTCGGGTTAAGGGAGGGGTAGGTGGGCAGTTGCCCAAATACTGATATTGATCTAAAAATTTTTTAAAATGGTGATCGTTTCATTTTGTGACCTTAGTGCTTGATTCAGGGTTGATAATGTGAGGAGAAATTATAGATTAGTCACTCTTAGGGGTCAAGGGTTAAACCCTAAAAAAGACCAGCATCTAATTTCTCCTTGCAGTAACACTGCTGAGTAATTCATTGAGTTCATGAGAATAAAGGAAATGATCACCCACCTAAGAGGCTTTAATTGTTAAATGAATTCCCTGTTATCGGTACCGAAGGAAACGTATACAGAAGAGTGTGAAGAACTAGGGTGTCAAGGGTTAAATTGTTTATATTTTTATATTGTATCCATGTTTATCTCCTACTAGGTTTGTGACATCAATGACACAGCTCGAGAAGAAAATGCTAGAAAACCAAAGAGACAGATTGTTGTCCACCATACTGACATTATTGGTGATACATTTTGGAGTGAACATCCTGAAATCCTGGACAGTTAACCACTTTGGTTTTGTGGAATATCTTGATCAAATGACATATTCATAATGCTGCCACAACTTCGTACCAAATGTATTGATTCCCCCTTTTTGCTCCCAAAACAAAAACACGAAATGGTGTTTGAAAATAGTACAAGGATAGAAATATTAACAAGCTGAAACAGACACAATAAAACTATGAATCACACTAACTGCTACGACTATCATAATTGCATACCATCTAAAAAGGGGAAAAAGGTTGATGATAATCAACACAAATAAATCGGCACGGTACAACTATTGAACTAACATGAAGCCAATGAATGACACCCTAGAATACAATCAATTTATAGCCAAAATACTACACTGGCTGAACCTTTGACCTAAGCCAGATCAACTATCCAGGGGTAATTAACTGTTTTAAATGGAATAGAAAATACTCAGATTATCCTAACACACATGAACATTCTCATCCACTTAATGTAACAAAATTTAAGGACAGTATTGCTTAAATAAATTTTAGATAACTTTTGTTATTTTATAAACAAACACCTATTTTACTTATTTTTGTCCATTCTATATACTTTGTGGGGGAAACTAGTCATAACAACAAGAACAACAAAAAAGATTCCTTGAAGATTGGGTGTAAAGCACAGAAAGTCCTAAATATTTGGTGGGGTTGTGAACAAGATAAGCGATAATGGAGATGCAACAAAGTATTGATTGGCTTACATTGTAAAGATACAATTTTACTTAGTACACTCTTCTGTGGATTACAAAATGAGATCATTTACCTCTTGAAAACTTAAGGCTGAACAGTTAAAAGCTTGTACTCTTAATTTTTTAGCCAGGGAATTATTCTATATTTTCCATTTCTAAAGTAATAAGGGAATTGAAACCCTCTTGTTGTTTATTAGTTCTTGAATGCATCATTTTATATAGCACTTTGAACTGTTCACTCCTGTTACATTTAGGGCCTAAAAAGAAAAACAAAACAAAACATTTAACCATATTCCTGTGGGTTCATATGATTTCTTTCTGTTATCTTAAGTTTTTTCTGAACATGCCTAAAAGATTAGTACTTTGAATACTACTTTGTGCAGAGCATGCAAAATTCTATCAGCTCAGGTTAAATATCTTGTACAGATGATTAGCTGAATGGAATGATCAGTTATTGTTCAGTTCTTTGAATACTAATTGTGACCAAGGTAGGTTCTGATGTTGTTATTTATACGAGACAGACTTATAGCCACAAATAAATTTATTTATACAGGAAAGTACAAAAAAAGAATAGGGTGAATGCAAGCAAATCCTCAGTCAAATAGGTCACCAACTTCTGGTTACAGTGGAGTTACTTTTTGTGACCAAGAGGTCCTGAGCTTGTAAGTGCAGGTCTTGACACTCTGAACTACTGAATTAAACTAACTGTACTTCTTTTATAAGGATTCGAACAATAGCAGGAAATTCTTATGATTTTTGAAGCTAGGCGTGATAGTGTGACATACAGGAAATTTATGGTGCACATCCTATTTGTGGGATGATTTGATTATCAATAGGAAATAGTTTCTGCAGATGTAACTCTAAAACTATGACAAAAATGTCATGCATTTTGTGAGCCTGGTCACAAAATGAATGAGCATGCACCATTTAGGGACAATGGGATTAGTGTAGAGAGATCCATCATGGCCATGTGTTAATGAGGTTTCTTGTGTTTATTAAAATTTGTTAGTTTATCTTAGCCATGCTGTGCTATAACTGAGAGAATTTTACCATAGGCTAAAAGCACTGACCATGGGTAGCATGAATTAAATTGATAGTAATGATTGAAATACTCCAGCTAACTTGAAAACAAATCTTTGGAAGGATATCGTATGATACAAAGCTGCAATGTAAATCAAGAAAATCCACTATTGGATGGGTATGGATATTTTTGGGGACAATGAAAAAAGGGTAAAAAGATCCTGACAGTAAGTAATTGTACAAGGCAGCTCATACATACCAAGTTTTTCTTCTGGAAGCTCTGTCAAAAACTAACTACAAAAGGAAAAGGGTATTTAAAATAAATCTTTCACACCTTCCCACCTTGTTAACCCTTTCACTCCCTAGATTTCATTCAATTGGTGAATCTCCTTACTGTCTGCTATACAATTCATGTGATGTTAGTTTGGAGAATTTGGAATTGGATCAGCCAATAATCCCCTAATTGATATTTTTCTTTATTCTCATTACTCGTCTGCTTGATCTCGTACTGATAGTGTGAGGAGAAATTCTGTCTAGGTCACTAGGGGTTAAATTTGTACCCCTTGTATCATCAATACATCCCCATTCACACTCTGCTACTCGTGATTAAGGACCCTGGTGTGAAAATAAGGACAGCAGAAGGTACAAAGTACAAACCTTTGTCATCTCCTCCAATTCTTGTAACACAGCATCTTCATCTTCCTGAGTCAAACTTCCACATAAAAGTTGGTCAATCTCCTAAGGAAAGAAAATCAAAAATTTTTGTTAACATTTGGATAGAAACTGCAGAAACCATAGGTTTTTAATCTGTATCTCTCACCCTCTGGCATTTAGTTCCTTCCTTGGTTTCATCCATTATTTTCTCTACATCTTTGATGGTTATTATCTGTGACAAAAAGTACAATTCACTTCATCTGACCAGAAAAAAATTGACATACCATTCTACTTGCATATTTTGACATTATAATTATAGAAATTATTGAATTTTCAACTGCAGATACTGCATTTCTAATGTTCTGATTGGTTCACTCAACTCCAGTTATCAGCTCATGTTCCAAGTCACCTTATATGGAATCATTGAATTAATGCAAAGGCCAAAGAAAAGATTACTTTTTAAATTTTACATAGTTACCTCTTGCATTTTCTTTAGAATATCATCTCCTTGTTTCAGTACATCAGTCACTTGAATTTCAAGCCGAGCCAACTTAACAGCACACATAACATCTTGTACCTGTTATAAGATGATCACTCTTTGTCTCTTACTTGAATCTTTTACTATGTGTAGGGTCAAGTGCAAAGAGAGGAAATGTATTTTTGTAACCCTCTTGACTGAAGGCCAAAGGAGACAAGACAGTGGCACACCTTTCAAATTTGATACATGTGCAACAAACCTGAGGTACATCCTAGTAATAGGTTAGTGGGGATGTGCTGCTGGACAGGGTCATATATTCATGACTGGATTCAGGATTTGAGGAATAAAAACATTCTGGCCAGTAAGGTATTAAAAATGGAAAGATTTGCAGTTAAGAAGTTGTTACCATGTTGCCAAAAGTGACTAAGATGGGGTCTATAATTGGCAAAAGAATATACTATAATGGGATAGGGGGTCCTTTATACCCTTGCGAACTGAATTCCCAGTTTTCTGGGAATTCCTAGGAATTCCTAGGAATTCCTAGGAATTCTCAAAAATTCCCAATTATGCAAATGACCCTTGCAAACCGAATTCCCAGTTTTCTGGGAATTTCTGGGAATTCCTAGGAATTCCTAAAAATTCCTAGGAATTCCTAGGAATTCCTAGGAATTCTCAAAAATTCCCAACTATGCAAATTAACTCTGATTTAAAAAGCTTGGAATTACTGGGAATTTCTGGGAAAGGAAGACTCCAGTTTGTGAGGACTTGGAATCTCTAGGAATTCCTAGGAATTCTCAGCTTTACAAACTACCTATAATATAAGAAGTGTGGAACTCTTGGGAATTTCTGGGAATTGAATTTGAGGCAATTTTAATACCCTGAGGTCCACATAAATTCTAAGAAACTCTCAATACCTTGAATGTGAAGGTTTTAAGAAAAAGAGTAATATCAGAGGCTTAAAACTTTGGCTCAATAAAAGGTATGCTATACAAAACTTACCAAGAGATATACATACATGTACACGTTTATAACTTAAAGATCATGAAATTTATTACTCAAACTAAGTTTTAGTAAATCTTTACATTAATATGGATTTTCTCATGAACCAGCTGTCAGTTATGTTAAATGGAAATTGCCAACTTCCACAATAATTAACAATAATTATATTGTTATCTTACTTCCCTAACCTACATTACTGGTTGCCTTTGTTAGAAAACCTTGGAACAGTCAAGCTCAGTTGCCTCAAATGCTGTCTGAGACTTTTTGTTGACAATACTTTTAGTAGAAATTTCATGCCTTAGACAAACAAATTCAACACCTAATTAATCTTTCTTTTTTCATGATTGTTGTTGCTGCTTTTTTTTTCAGTTTTTTGCTCTATTTTCATGACTAATTGCTGTAATTTGTTTTGCTGTTTTTATTCTTACAAAACATTTTTGTAAGAAAAGGGGAACATTGACTACCTCTGTCTTGTCTGCATGCCAAATGTTTGCAAAGTGTGTGGATGATCCACGAGTATTGGAACTCTTACAAAAATGTTTTGTAAGAGTTCCAATACTTGTGGATCATCCACACACTTTGCAAACATTTGGCATGCAGACAAGACAGAGGTAGTCAATGTTCCCTTAGAGGAAAAACACCTTTTTATATGACGTCTTCAATTTACTTTATTTGAAACTCTGATCTGAAAATATTTGTCAACAAGACTTGTTAGTAGTGAGAAGTACCAACCAAGTTTCCTTTCATATCTTAATTTCTTAAATGTCCCAATCACTGGATCTCCCAAAAAAATATTACATCTTTTTATTTTTGGTGCAAATTACAAGTCCTTCTTTATATAAAAATGAAAAGTGATAGTCACACTTCAATAATAACAGCTCTTAAGTTTACTTGTTGTTCTTCTCTGTCTGTCAGCTATCAACAAGATTGTTTTATACTTCGGGCAGTGCATAACTATTTGTGGGCCAGAGTTCCAACGCACCTCTGTAATCGCATATAGCTACTCCTGTCTCTTGTACAAATGTTTCTCCTTTGTAAGACACACTCTACTCTGTTGTCAATACTGCTTTAAGTTCAGTGGAAACGACTGACTGAGGAATCGAGATGGCGGTGTTGGAACGTGTTGCTGAACGCTTGCTACGGTCAAGCTTTGTAGATTTAGGTACTGGTACACTGGGATCATCTATGTATCTCTTATACTTCC